GAGAGAGAGAGAGAGAGAGAGAGAGAGAGAGAGAGAGAGAGAGAGAGAGAGAGAGAGAAGGAGATCCTTTCACTAATGTTTCCAAATAGCGTTGTTTTCTAGCGACCTTATAACGCTTCTTTATTCTTCTTGGCTTGCTAATCTGGTTTTAGAAAGAAAGTTCGGCATGATGAGGGTTTTTGATTTATGAAGTGCAAGCAGTGAAGTTCGCTTCGTCAACTGGTCGATGTTACGCGATACGTATCTCTAATAATCAGTTATGTCTATCTAGAGATGCTATAGATTAGTATATTCAATTATTTTTGATTGACGTTTTGAATGTCGTAATCGGATGTGACCTTAAAATTAGTTTTAGCCGCATGTCTACTTTTCTCAACAATATATTTTTTATTTTTATTATTGTCTTATCAATTTCAAATTTTACTATTCCTTATCAAATTGGTATCTATAATATACTCGTATTTTATCAAATAATATTTTATATATTTATATAAAATACAGGTTAAAATAAAAGAAAAGAACTTATCCTCGCTAAGATTTTTTTATTAATTAATCACAGTAATAACTCTGGTACACACATAACTTGGATACACACGCGAAAAATAATTATCTTTTCGAATCTGTCTGCGGTTTATTTGCTAGTAAAACAAAATGATTCTACTTCAAATCCTTATTGGTTTAATCATCTATTAACACATCAAAAATTATTGCTTTATTATACGAGAAACAAATACTAATATCGATACGAACCGTTTGAAGTTCGAACAGTACGAAACTTTCTGTTATATCTGATTTTTGTTTCACTTTACCAAAAATATATTAAACATATAAGTTTTATAATTTCTAATGTATATTATATGAAATTATTATTTTATGAAATTATTTTCCCATTTATACAAAAAATATTTTTTTAATTTGAAAAAAGATATAATTTTTTCAAAATAATTAAGTATGTAATATATTCCATGTTTCAGATTACCCCAAACGGAGAGCAGGAGCAAGGCCGAGTGATAGAGGCAGTGTGATGAGCGGATACTTCGGTAGCATCACCCTGCCCCCGACGTTGCTGCACGATCCGAAGTATCCTCCAGCCATGCGGGAGAAGGATTCGAGTCCGAGAAAGATGCCGGGCCATATAAGCCCAAAGCAAGCCAGCATTTATCCCCTGAGCGTTCGTGTACCGGACGTTGAGGAGCTGCCATACGATCTCAGTCACGGTCACGGCCGCGGTCTGTCGAGCCCGACGAATCAGCAACAGCATCAGCCGCACATGAGTCCCGCAGCCAGACCGCCCCAGCCTCATCATCAGGATGAGCTTGACTGCGAGCCGCTCGATCTCCGTGTCGATCATAAGAAGGAGCGACTCAGGGATGAGAATCAGAATGAGATCGAAGTTTTGAATCAGAATAGTCTGGGTGGTGGTTTACCTTATCACACGGTGCTCTTCCCTCAACATCATGCGATGCACCCGCTGGTTCTGGAAGCGATGTACAGGTCACATCATCATAGCTCGCCGGTGCCCGAGCTGCCAAAGATCCAAGTTAGAGCGCTTCCCACAATGGTACCTTTGCCACCTAACAGATTCTCCTCGACTTCATCATCCACATCCTCTTCGTCTTCGTCGCAACCGACCGCGAGAGCTGTCAGTCCGGTCATCGGTCAACAATCCCAGCATCAACAGAATCATTCCTCGCAACAGCAACAACAGCAGCAACAGCAACAGCCCCAACAACAAAGCTCAAGTCTGCCGCCTTATTCGATCAGCGTGCAAGCCGGTCTCAAGCCCAAGGACAGATATTCCTGCAAATTCTGCGGCAAGGTCTTTCCTAGATCGGCGAACCTGACGAGACATCTGAGGACGCACACCGGCGAGCAGCCATACAAATGCAAGTACTGCGAAAGGAGCTTCAGCATCTCCAGTAATCTTCAGCGTCACGTCAGAAATATCCATAACAAGGAAAAACCATTCAAGTGTCCGCTCTGTGAGAGATGCTTCGGCCAACAAACCAATCTGGATCGTCATCTAAAGAAGCATGACGCAGATGGACCGACGATCCTGGATGAAGTTAGATCGAGGTATCACGGTCAAATGCCACGGGCTGACGATTCCTATTTCGAGGAGATCCGCAGTTTTATGGGAAAGATCACCTCGCAAAGACAGGGTATACCATATTTCCCTAGTCTACTGGGTCACTCAACAGATGACTTTAGAAATGATAAACAGCAACTACAGCTGGAGGAAAAACGAGGCGACTCTTCATATTTCAGTGACCGGGACAATCTTAGTTCAAGGTCAAGCAGTACGGCCAGCAGGCCGGAGAGCGTCCAAGAAGAACAAAGGGAAGTCAATTCGCCGCCACTCTCTCCCGGCAATAACACCTGAATCCTAGGACGCGACCATCAACATGGTAATCCAGTTAAGAAAAATTTTCGTCAGTTCGTCAGAGCATAGTGGAATCAACAAGAGAAAATCGGATATTTTAGCAGTCGAAATTGATTAAGGAAACCTTGAAAAAATTAAACTTCTAAATGATTCCACAACAATATCGCTGCGAGGAACTATTTTATTTACGGTGATCCTAGATTAGTTTGTAACTACATTACGAGAGAAACCATTCTTCGTAAAAATTCCTGTAAGCCGAAACGCAAAGCTAAATCGACGGGATTCTGTGAAGAAAAAAAAAGTGATCTATATTCATAAAGATAAATCCTAAAGATGAAATCTTTGCTCAAGATGGCGAGCAACAGTCGAATCAATTTCTTATTCTAGGTTTTAATAATTACGGATTTTGAAACAAATTTGCAGAACGTTACAATTGAAGAATTAATACGTAGATTCAATTCGCTATGAAAAAAGCTAAAAATTAAAACATGGTGCCTTGAAGAAACATGTGCCTAATATACTAAGACGTATCGTCCTTTGATCCTGAAGAATAGATCGAATCGGATCGATATAAAAAGCCTTAATAATAAAGTTAGATATACAATTAACTTACACTAAATATCGTACAATACTAGAATCTTAGACTTTAACGCGTGCTTGAGTGAGTCGGAAAATCATAGAGAAATAGACGGAATTGACCATAATTTATAGATCGATTTATGAAAATGAAAGAAAAATGAAGAAAATATCTAATGTGGACTTTCACTTTATAAGAGAAGATATAAACGTGTCTCTCATGTTTTGAACCGTAAAAAATTTGATATTTTATTTTGTTAATTGTGTATTATTATAGTCAATTTTATTAAAATATACATTCTGATGTAATATGAAATGTGTAATGAATTATTATACGTGTTAAATTTTTGTTTTTTCAATAAGATGAAAGTTGTACTTGATATTACAAATTTACATTTTATACATTAACATCTTTCATAGATTTTTGTTTTACTTCAAATATATCCCAGTATTTGTATCTTCTCTTTTATATTTCTCACGCTCAATATTAATTATAAAGAGCATTTTATCGATTCTACTCTCTTCATAAGCCGAACTATCAACAGAATGACATATATGAGACATAATTTATTTATGCTTGAAGGCTGTCGCAATCTTCCTATTCACTTATCAAGAATTTTAATAAATGAATTTAACTGCCATCTCTCATTATCTAAGTTTGAATCGCTATAATACAAAGTTTTTTATTAATACCGGGTAAAAATTTGAATTACATCAGCTGACCAATATTATTCGCAACGTTAAGAAAATCCTATAAAAAACGACATTGTTCTTAAATTACATTAAGCCGCGCTGCAAATTACGATGGTATAATGCATGACTAATTTGCAAAGAAGAAAGGATAGCACGGAAAAAAGTGCCGGCACTGTAATTAAGGCCGTTGCAATCCTTTCAATCGTCCCTACACTTTTCCACCTTTCACGACGCATTCCATTCGCGCGACGGATTCAGCTCGAAGTTACAGAAATCTGATTTCGAGATCAACACAAAGTATTATCCGAAAAAATTGTACGCGGACGGTTCAGTCATAGAATAAATGTCATGAATTAAAAATTTTTTTCAAATACCAATAAATATATAACGATAAATATAAAAAAATTGCAAAACGGTAAAAAAAAATAAACTGACGTACAATAAATTTTTTTTTAATAATATAACATTTATCGCTAATGTAAAATCAACAAATCGCGTAGTTATAAGAAACATAAAAAAAGTGATATATTCATACTATAAAACGTCCGATTTAATATTTATCTTTTGCGTAGCATCACCGTATGTAATATCAAGCTTAAATCACAAGAAATCATCACAAAATTCTCGAATACCAAGTGAATCAAAAGGATTTACAATTAGAAGTTGATGAAAAAAAAATTGATGGAAGGAAAAATTCAGAAGAATGCCGGGACGGCAGAAAAAAACGCCGCTGGCGTTTTGGATTTGATTTTACGACCTAGAAAGTGAATTTCAGCGCTTGGGCGACTCGGATGCCTTCGAGCGTAATCCGCGAATCGCGAAATTGTCAGATCCAATGATCCGCTGAGGAAGCTGGATAATAAAATAGTGTTTAGAAATCGAATGGGCGGATCTCCGTGCGCCGATCTTGCCGTTGATCGGCGACGTGTTGGGAAATCGGAAGAGCTCGGAAAGTTCGTCGCACTCCGCGTACCTCGGATCATTAAGTTTTCAATCATGGAAGTCGGTGACGTGTCGCGAAGATATACCGGGTATTATCGTCACGAAATGAAATACAAGTACCTAGATCACGTTTCCCAATCTTCTTTCAACATATTGAGATACACAAACCATTTCTAATACACAAACCACTGGAACATCCGTAAACGTGTATAATTGTTGTCGTTAATTGAATGAGAATATAATTAAAGTTTGTTTCAAGAATTAACCAAAACGACAATTACGTTTACTTTCCAATCGAAATTCTGAAGCGTCTGAAGGCAGATGAAGTGTCGCTACTCTGAAGAAGCGGAAGAGAAATAAAAGACTCTATATTTCTTCATCTCTGAAACTAATTCGCAACGAGAAAAGAAATCGATAGCAATCATTTAATATGTAACTATCACACCAGTGGAAAGACGTAATCATTACAGCAACGCGGTCTTATCCGATTTAAATGCTAACGAACTTAACGAACTTCACGATACTCATATGCACGGTTTGAGATTGTAATCTCTACCATATCATGCGATTTTTAAAATCGTTTAATCCTGTCGCTCGGGAATTAAATAAGAACACAAGTAAGAATTTATTAATATTAATTTCCGCGCGCGCGCGCACGTTAACGTTTTCCTTATTACGCTTTAAACTCCTAAACTGTAGAAGAAATTAACGGGAAAATATATACCGCCATATAATATCTAATCGCATTAAATAGATTGCTGCTGACACATCTCGTTAGGCGGCTTTTTTCGCGGCTGGCAAATGACAGCGGGATGTAGCCAGGCGTTTCTGCTCCGCTTGTCGACCATAATGCTTTGTTTGCGACTAATGTGTCAGGAAATGATATCCGCCGATATGCAGCGTGTTTGCGGGATCGAGCAAAAACTTAAGGCAGCGAACGGGTATCATTCCGGCCGGCACTTCTGGCGAACGGCAAACGGTGCGAAATCTCTCGAGGTTCTCATCGAACCGCGGAAACGTCTACAGTGAAGAAAGGACCCGATCTGAAACTGACGCGCCGCGGAATCTTTATACGGCGTGGAAAAGCCGCGTGCTTCCTGCCGGCGATGATCGGCAAGAAGAGGCGAATAAACGAGCCGGAGTGCCTGGTAAATCCCACCACGGGCAATCCCACACGATGATGATATATCCCCTCGTTTCCTGCGGACGGTCGCTGAAGATCGTACCTTGGGTGAAACGATGTAATCGTCTTCCGTTCCTCAAGTCAGGTGCAAATTTATCGGCACTTTCTAGCGAGCGCCGGCATCGCAGGTGCAGGCTCTTCCAGGAGGATCCCTTGATCTTTGGGATTAACCCAATCAATTCTTAGTAGCAAGAGCGTAACGCGGGAGGTTAAAGGCATAATGGAAGCTAAAGGGAATTGTACACTATACAGAAAAAAAAATTAATTGGGTGGTACAGTAAACCTATAATTTATTACGCGAATTCAACATCGACAGCTAAGAAGATTTGATGGTTTAACAAATCGCTAATGTTCAGCTGTCAACTTTGCTATTTTAACATAGAAAATTGACTGTCTGTATATTACAACTGTAGATTTGCTGAATCAGTGAAGTTTTCAGCTTTGTTTTTTTTTTCCGTGTACGGCTGTCTATCCGTCTTGCGTGTGCGCAAGATAGATTTATGTGCAAGAACGCTTCGTGTGAGGGCAAATCTTAAGGACCTCACGCGTACAATATTTTTCATATAGAGAAAATGCGAGATCTTGTGTGCGTGAATACCTTGCGTGTGCTAAGTCCTTATCGTATTATCATCATGTGCGCAAAGATCTTCGTATGGATGATTGTGGAAAATTGAATGTGCAACCTTCGCTAAATTATATGACTAAATCATATTACATATACTAAATTAAAAGACTTGTGGCTTATACGTTGGATGGATATATTCTGTTCTTAGAGTCATCATTGCGTGGCGCACCTTTATTAAAATTGCTTATTGCTATTCTGTTATATCTTTAGAAATTTTTCTAACAAAAAAAGATTGTTTCACTTTATTGAAATTAACTTTCTTTCTTTTCTTTTTTCTTCTTTTACATAAAATCTAAAATAAAAGAGATATGTAGAATATCTTATTAAATGTTTTATTAGTTACGAATTCGTCGTTGGAATAATCCCATACGGCACGCGATACAACTATTACAAGTGCGCGCTCAGTTTCTCGAGTTCTATGGAACGCAATTGAAAATCCTGCGACGGATCTTAAAAACGGATTAATCACTTTCTGGCTTCTCGGGTGCGAGTTTACTGCGCTTTCTAGATCGTGTCGACGATCGAAGCGGAAAACAAACAGCACGTCAGTTTCGTGACTGAAAGTGTTATCTCGAGCGATTCCGATTAATTGATTTATGTCTATGTAGCTACACTTTTTTAATGCAAACTGTTTCATCGAGTGCATTTGTCTCAAGAATCAGTTATTATGAAGGTAAAAGAGCCACGATGACGTGGAAATCAATGCAAATGCATATAAAGATTCGATCAGATTTCGATCTCAAATTTACACTAGAAAAAAAGTCTAGTTGCCTTAATTGGCAATTTTGTGGAAAATGGGCAAATCAGAATCTTCTGATTAAATCTTGTATTTAATTGTAGTTGAGATAACCAAAATTGATATAATCAGAATTTTCTGAATTGTTCATTTTAACCAGAAATTGTTCTCAGTGTATAATTGCACTTTTAATCAAACAAAAAGGACCTAAACGATAATGAAAATAAGATCAAGATGATATCTAT